AAAACCATTTTTCAACAGCAATAGCAATTTTTTATTTAGGGAGAAAATTTCAGGATATTTATTTAGTCATTTTTTATCTGTTCTAAGAGCATTTTTTTCACTGCCTGGTTCACTGGACCAGCAGTAAAATTTCCCTATATCTTTTTGGACTGTGTCACAAGACAAACACAAGTATGATGCCAAATTTCTTTGCAGAAAAGTCTCATCTTCTGATTGCAGATCAGTGAGAAATGATAATACTTCCACCATAAAATGTTAGTTATATAGAGGTGACAAAGACCTGGTGTTTCTCTTGATATGGGACAACAAGTGAAGTGCCCAGAGCCTTGGTTATTGCTTCTTATTCCCATTGGAAAGATTTTTTTTTTTTGTCTGTCAGTGGAGAGACTAGGACAGGCTTACAGGACAAGAGAAAATGATTTTAAACTAGAAGAGGGGAGGTTTAGATTACATGTTAAGAGGAAATTCTTCACTCATAGAAAGGTGTGGCCCTGGCACAGCTGCCCAGAGAGGCTGTGGTGCCCCATCTATGGCGGTGTTCAAGGCCAGGTTAGATGAGGCCCTGGGCAGCTGAGCTGGTGGGTGGCAGTACTGTTCATGGCAGGGGATTGGAACTGCTTGGGCTTTAAGATCCCTTCCACACCAGACCATTCTTTGATTCTGTGATTCTATGAAGCATCTATTTTTCCTGTATCGCATTTTCCTCTCCTGCCCTTCTAGCCTAGTGATGCACCTGAGGGCAGAGAATCACAGAGCAGAGCATCTGTTGATCTTTCTGCAGCAGATCTCTGTGAATCATGTTCTGCTGACAGACAGGAGTGAGACCTGGGAAGTCACTGCCCATTAGATATTTAGTGGTTTCCCTGAAAAAAAGTCCTTCCCAATAGCTCACTTATTTCTCCTAGTGTGAAAAAGATTTTAATTACAAGAATGCTCCCAGAGCAAGTGAGAAATAGTAAGCTATCTGGTCCATATTTGGCCTGACTACAACTATTTCTCCTCATACTACTTTAGAAGACTTTAATCTGTGGTAACTGAAGAACAATGAGCCCGTGTTCTTCTCCTGTACAAGGAAATCTTTTTATTTATGAAACTCTGGACCAAAGTAGTGAAGTGAATTTATTGAATCCAAGTGGTACACCTGCTAAAGCATTGAAGGCAACAACAAATCCAGCAGCAATCATCTACCTGTGGAATTTCAGTAGTTCATCAGGTTTTGTACTTTATTGATTGAGGTTAGATCTTAAAGAATCCTTAGCTAAAACTTCATAGTGTTGCTTTAAACATTACACAGAACCACAGAATGGCCAGGGTTGCAAAGGATCATCAAACCCCCTGCCACATGCAGGGCCGCCAACCATTTAATACTAGACCAGGCTGCCCAGAGTCCCATCCAATCTGGCCTTGAACACCTCCGGGGATGGGGCATCCACAACCTCTCTGGGCAGCCTGTTCCAGCATCTCATCACTCTCACCACTCTCTCTGTGAAGAACTTCCCCCTGACATCCAGCCTAAATCTTCCCTCCCTCAACTTAAATCCATTTACACATCTTCCTGCTTCAGAACTTGGAGCAATGATACCATTTAGAAAAACAATCCTAGTATCCAATGCAACATTAAAAATAACAGTAATTGGTTATTTTTTAATTAATGTATTTTAGTATCTCCTCAAAATTCAGAAATTTACTTCTTATTACTCAAACTGCAAATTCTGTTTTTCATTCCCATTTATGAGAAGGGCAAGTATGTCCAAAATTTATTGCAGAACATCCTTCCTTAAGATGCTGGCTTTAGATATTTTTGTAAACTGTAGAAATGTAGAATAATTTTTAAAATGTTTAAGGAGTAGGCCTACTTTTTAATCAATGTATCTCTTTTTCTACATCAAGTTGTCAGTTACTTTTTCTAAATTACAGTGACTTCAATTTGTTGCAATGAAAATGAGTGATTTCAGCTGATGCAGAGTAACGGCTGTTCTCAGCAACATAAAATTAGGAAATTACTAGCATAAATTATAAAAATAGGTACAATGTTATCTGACATCAAATTAAATAATGCAAATGCTAAAAAATATAATTTCAAGACTTCCGGATGTTCTAAAGTGTGAAGAAATCACTTTTTTATTTTTCATTATTGGGAAATCTTCACATGGTAATGACACCTATAGGTTTTCTTTCCTTTTGCAACATTTCTTTTTGCAAAAACAAAACAAAACAACAAAACATTACTTCTGACACAATGAGACTTTTTGTTATGAAGTATCTGGCTTGGCTGGCATAAACTGCCCTTGAGAAGATCATCCTGAATAAGAGATGTCACATTCTACACACTGCAGCAATCCTTCCTCTGCACTCAGATCAAATTAGCATGTCATCTTGTGAACAGGCACAATGCCAACAACGAGGAAATGGGCATAAGTGTCCTCGCCAGTAAAGTCTGGGTGTTAGGCAGTCAGACTTACTCATAGGATGCTGCAGTGTTTCAGCCTTGGCTAATGTGTATTTCATCATTGCTGTTGAAGAGTGGATTAACTCTGGAAGATTCAGAAATATTTTCTACTAAAATGACTGTCAGTTTCTAGTAAATGAGATTTGAAAGTCTGACATAAAGAAAGGGAAAAAAACAAACTCACACACCTGTGTCCTTCAGAAACACATTACAAAAAGGAATTATGCACTTCGCAATGCTTTTGTGGCCCTGGAGTATTTCCTGCTAAATAACTCATTCCTTTGTGGAAAATGCATTTGTGACCTTCTGTGGCTTTCCTTCTGTAGAGCCTTGTACATATTTTCTGCTGAACAGGGCAGAAAACGAGCTCCATTTGGAGTGCAGCTAACCATCTGAATAAATCATGCTTCAAGTACATGACCCCATTTCTTCTCAGCAGAATATCATACTCTGCTAATGGAAGTGTTCTGGTTTCAATATAGCTATCTTTTTCCTGGCAGTGAAAGGAAAGCCTTGAATGTGGGTGTATCTAGCAATAAATATAGGTGTCTTGAATGCAAACAAATGACTCATGGTGAGATACTAGGTATACAGTGATTGCATAGCTGTGCAAATCCTTTGCTGATAGGAGACAGACCAGGTTACTCCAGCTTCACATTTTGTGTTTTCTTTTGGAGAAATTGCAAAAAAAAACCCAAACCAAAACAAAAAAATGAACAAACAAAAGGTAAAATGGGACCAAAACTTGGATGCTGAAGAGGAAGAAGTTAATTCAAAGATTTAAATTCTCCAACCTCTGGAGAAATCGAGATTTGAAGATGTCGCGGTTGGATACTATTTCTTTGGTAACTAAACAAAAGTCTTCTCATTGCAAAATCTGTACCTTTGTTATCTTAAAAAGCAAAAAACAAACAAACAAAAAAAACCAAAAAACTGAGTTGTCTAATTCCTGGAGACTTTCTTTTCATGAATCTTCAGGAATATTTCTGACTATTTTCTTGAATTTCTATTTGAAATGTTGTAAATTTAAATATAATTTAATTTAAATATAATTTAAATATAATAATAATTTATTGGCTTTACTGGAATAATTTGAAGACTGGAAAAAGTAGCACTTGACTAAACGTTCTTTAAAACTATGAATGTGATTCTTTTGTCCCACGGGAAGACAAAAAAAGACTGCATGTCTCAGGATAGAAGTAGAGTTTTCCCCACAGTCACACATATATTTTCCCCATGAAGATAAAAGTAAATCCATCAGTAGTTGCTTAAGCAATACCAAATGGTTTTGCATTAGAAAAAATGAGAAATTATCACGTAGCCTTTTCTCCTGGCTTATAAAATGTGACAGTTTATTCCTTAAGTGAGGTTGGCAACAGGCACCTGAGGGTAAAAATAGCTAAGCTGCCACTGCTTTTTTTTCCAGCTTTCATTGCAACTGGAAGCAGAATGCTCCATTAATAAGTTGAAAATTGAAATAGTAAATTATGACATTGCAATATTTCTGAGGGTATGTATTTAGACACATTTTTTATAGCAAGATAAACAATGATTCTTAATCATAGAATCAGAGACTGGCTTGCATTTGAAAGGACCTTAAAGATCATTTAGTTCCAACCCCCTGCCATAGGCAGGCTTGCTACCCACCAGATCAGGCTCCCAGGGCTCCATTCAACCTGGCCTTGAGTGCATCCAGGGATAGGGCACCACAGCTTCTCTGGGGAACTCGTTTAAGGTTGCCTTGTTATGGAGTCACTTATCAAACTTGTTCAGGTTTGTTTGGATGGCATCCCTTCCTTCTTTTCTATCAACTGCACCAGTCAGCTTGGTGTCATCAGCAAAGTTGCTGAGGGTGCATTTGATGCCACTGTCATTTATAAAGATGTTAAACAGCACTGGATTCCTGAGAGACTCAACTACTCACAAACCTCTGGCTGGACACAGAGCTATCAACTCTTCGACTGAATGACCTCAATGTTAGAGAATAATGTAGAACATTACTTATATGACCAGCTGCAAAGACCACAGATATCTGTGCATTTATAGTGCTGGTTTTTTTACTAATTTTGGAGGAAATCATGTATTTAAATATTGGTTTCTCTGAGTAAACATGCTGTGTTGCAATAGCAAATAATCAAATTAAGACTATTTTAAAATTAAAATTTATGTTGACATGGAATATACAAGAAACAAAGATATTTATCTATATCATTTAAAAAAATTATTCCATTCTTCCAGGCATACTCTGGTGGTATGCATGTGTCTCAGTTAACACTGAGCCTCACACTGCCTTGAAACTTGGAGGCAAATCCATACAAGAAGCTTTGGGATGGAAAAAGCAGGAGTATTTGCAAAGGGTGCTTTTTCAACCAAAATGTGATGCAAATATAAGATATCAGGTACTACCAAATAATTACAATATGGTATTTTCTCTTTTAGTAGCATTAGATAAATACTGTTATCTGTTTAGCACTTCATTGTCAAAGTAACTTCACACATGACTTAGTGATCCAGAAATTGAGTAGAAGCATAAAATAAAGATAGCCACAAAGAAGACAAAATTGCTTTAATTTTTATTTGTTAATGATTGAATACTAATATTAAAATTTACCTACTGCTAGAACATCTTTCTAGATGAACCAAAAGACACAGCATGAAAAAAAATTCTTTCTTCTCACATCCTTGTCTCCTCCAGTGGCCTGTTCATGAAATCTTGGATTGCCTGGTGTAGGGGTAACCATTTATTAATTGAAGCCTTCAGAGCTGTAATCCATCTAAAAGAAAGACCAACAACTATATATAGTTGGGTGTAATGAATGCACTTCAACACCCTTTAGAATATTCTGTGAATGGTGTTTGTTCGAATGTGCTACTGCATATACTGCATGGAGAAGGGTAGAATGGGGAGGAGTTGACTGTACAGCTATCTATCTTAAGTCCAGTTTCCATCATACCCAATAGCTTTGTCCTCTGTTCATTAAATTAGAATCCAAATCCTGCAATTAGAAGGTTTACACAATCAGAACTCTCACAGACAGTCATGGAATTTGACTGAATTGCTATGACAGGATTCACCTTCGGAACATGATTTCGTAGGTTAATTTTCATTTTTACTACTAATGATCATTGTTGGAAGTAAACCACCCTTGGGAATGTTGGGAATGAGGAAGATATACATTCTGCTAGCTTGGGCTCCTCTAATGAGAAAGTACCATAGGTTTTCTGTTCAGTGTAATAACGCTCTGTGAAAGGCACCATATCCTGATTCCCTTCTGAAACTCTGCAATCCATAATTGCTGCAGTTCCAGCACTGACAGTAACAGAATTGATGACTCACATGGTCCAACATGTTGTGCTACAGTGTGACTAAAGCTAGAATTGAAAGGAAGTCTAGAGAAACAAGTGAAAACAGAACGAAAAGCTGTCACCAGATCTTCCCCAAGCTATAGTGTTTCCAATTTTCTTAACTCTGGCAAATAAAATAGAAACAAGAATCTTGGTTTACCTTTTGTTTTCATTTACATTTTCGGCACATAAGTAGAAAGTTTTAAATTCTTCAGATGGAGGTTTGAGTTCAATTACTGATCTCTTGGATCCCAGAGACTGTTCACTCACAATATATCCCTGAAGGTAGAGGCCACCTTGATGGAAAAAAGTTAGTATGCATCATGTATATTGAATACACTACTTAGGAAATGATTTCTTGCTAGCTGCATAGTGAAATTTTTTGAAAAAACAATTTCCGTATGACTTGTGTTGAGCTTTTCCAGTTATGCAGAATTTTCATACAGAATATGAAAAATACAAAATATCAGTTTTCTTCTGAAAATTAATATGAACAGAGCTCCTTACTTGCTCTTTCTACAGGATTTCAGATTTCTTTTTCCTTTTCCTCTCAGCTAATTAGTGCAGAACTCAGTGGGAGTTCTACCAGGTCAGCTTTCATTGCTGCCTCTTCACTGCATCAGGAAAGAACTACACTTCTTTGGATGAAAAGCAGTGTACAGGAGGTAAACATTTTTATTGTTACAGATTGAATTTTTCCTCAGGCTCCCAGGTGTTTTGGCACAAATGTGTCTGTCCAGTTACTGGAACTTTCTACTCTATTGCATTATGAAAGGTCACTCCGACTTGACAGATAAAGGGAATACAAAGGCATAATAAGCTGTGAATAGTAAGTGTGAATATGATTACACAAAGTGTAAGATTAGTACAATGATAAAAAAACCTAATATGATGAATAGACATACTCAAAACTATACTAAAATTAAACTATATCAAAAGGTAGATCTGAAAAGAAGTATGGATTTGATATTTGAGAATAGATTTGTGCTGTGGTTAGTTTCTTATACTAAACTCTTGTCTTGAAAACTTTATGAACAATCAAGATTCAGGGATTCATTTTCAGTCAATTAATCCTGGTGGCTGCTTCAAGTTAAACTTGCAAATTTTGTTTTATCTGTCTGGTGTGTTTTTTTGTTTTTGTTTTTCCTTAAAAACTAATGGGATATGAATTTGAAAATTAAAAAAAAAAATAATGCTGGAACCAGCATTTGCTCTTCTTACTTGACATGCTACCTTCAGTAATTGGAACTCCATTGCAGGCCACACCAGTTAGCTCTAAAGAAAGGAATTACACAGCATTTGCTCTTCATAATATTTTAGTTTCATTCGCTCTTTTGTTTTTACAGGGTTGCTATAATGCCATAAATACAAAATACTGCATTTTTTTTTCCTTTCTGCTAATTCATTGCTTAACTTTGGGCAAGTCTTAGGTTCAGTTTACTGTGGAACTCACTGGCCATTTCACACAGACCTTTTACAAGGTGAAAAAAGTTTTCTCTCTCAATCTGAAAGCTGGCTAGTAAGCAACGGTATAACATTTCCTTTCTGATTCTTCTGGCTGCCAGTTTCCTTAGGATAAGGAATCAACCCTTATTCCTTAAGCTCCTCTTTTTTTTTTTTTTTTTTTTTTTTAAATACAAAGTCCCAGGAAGTTGTCCTGAGTGCATGAAATTCAGCTTCCCTACCTCAAAGTCATTTGTGATGGGTGCCTGGAAACGCCACCTTGCAGCCTTCATGAAGTGGCCACTTTCCTATTTTGTTACAAGGAGAACTGCTACACAGCATCATGGATTTTTTAGCTTAGATGAAAGCACCTGGCCAGACCCTGCAGAACTCACCTCTGCTGCACCAAGGGAGTTTGGCCTGCTGCTGTTCTGCCTTTGCCAAGGCTGTATGAAAGTGCAGTAATGGTGGAGAAAACCAACTAGAGTTTATGATGTCCCTCCCTTTTAGGCTATTTATCACAGAGTAGTCTGACAGCTTTCAACAGACTTTCAGCCACCAATGGCAAGGAATCAAGCCTCTAGGAAGTGCTTTAGGAAGGTGATGTCTCTTGCTGATATGTTCTTCTGAACATCTTTATCAGCTGTGTTCCAGAAACAAAAATGCAGACCACTGGACATTAAAAAATAATGATAATAATAATATGGGGAGAATGAGGAGTATATTTTATGAAAAGAAATTGAGTTTATTCTTCGTATGTTCACCTTCACAGAACACTGAGAATTTGCCAGTAAAAGAATTTCATTAGTGGTCAAAGTTCTATTTGGAAACTGCAATTAATTGTTTAATTAATAACTGTTTGCAATCCCTCAGCCAGCTCTACCTTGGGCAGGTGTGGAGCGGAGAGTGGCATAGAAGTACAAGCAGCCATCCTTCAGAATGCAATAGTGTTGAATCCAGGCATCTTTGCTTCTGTCCAGCTGGTGGAGGAGCCCCAGACACTCTGGGTTTTTGATGGCTAAGGGTGGCAATGCAGTATTATGCAGCGTGACATCTACCCACACGTGGTTCTGCAAGGTAAGCATGAAATGAGCAGTTATGTTACGAAATTAAAGATGGCCTGCTGGTATGAAATGACACTGTCTCTAGTCATGTGCAGACTTTGGTTGTGAAAACAGTTTGTGAGGTCAATTTGGAAACGCAATTGAAAAACTTGTATTTGATGTAAAAAAAAAAAGAAAAGGTCAACTTGCACAATTGTAACTTGCATTTTCTGCAACTCTTTTGTTTTCCAAAATAGATTTTTGTCAGTAGAAACAGATTGTGCGGTTTAAGCTGACAATTCGGCACCATGCCATTGTTCATTCACTCCTTCCCCTCACAGTGGGATGGGGGGCAGAATCAGTGGGTTGAGAAAAAACTATTTAATAAGAGAAAAGGAAGTGGAAAAAAAGACAGTAGTATTAGTAGTTAGTAGACATAGAAAACCATTTTTATTTATAAGTACATACAAAACAAGTGATGCACAAGCAATTACTTACCACTTACCAAAAATGCCCAGCCTGTTCCCGAGCAGCAACTGTCCACCTGGCCAACTCCCCACTGTTTTTCAAGCTTTCCCTTTAACCAGTGTGGGTCAGCTGTCCTAGTTCTATCCCTTCCCAACTCCTTGTGCCTATACAGTTCTCCTCACTGGCAGAACAGTATGAGAAGCTGAGAAACTGAAATGTCCTTGTGTCTGTACAGAACTGCTCAACAACTGTGTTGACAATCACTGTGTTGTCAACATTGTTTTTTCCCAAAAGCCAAAACATTGCATCATACTAGACACTATGAAGGAAAAATCAACTCTGTCCCAGCTCTCCTCTCCTCTCCTCTCCTCTCCTCTCCTCTCCTCTCCTCTCCTCTCCTCTCCTCTCCTCTCCTCTCCTCTCCTCTCCTCTCCTCTCCTCTCCTCTCCTCTCCTCTCCTCTCCTCTCCTCTCCTCTCCTCTCCTCTCCTCTCCTCTCCTCTCCTCTCCTCTCCTCTCCTCTCCTCTCCTCTCCTCTCCTCTCCTCTCCTCTCCTCTCCTCTCCTCTCCTCTCCTCTCCTCTCCTCTCCTCTCCTCCTCTCCTCTCCTCTCCCCTCCCCTCCCCTCCCTTTCTTCTTTCTCTCTCTTGTACTTTTTGGCAAGTTAATGAAGGAAATAAAGACCTAACAAAAAATAGATAACTGTGTTTTGTTATGAGCAGGAAATCTGCTGGTACTTATTGCAGCACAGTGTATAATATGGCTTCAGAAATACAAAGTGTATGCATAAAATAGTTACACCTGTAGATTCATTAGGAGGACTTTATATCATTGATGTTATGATTCTTATTACAATTCAGTGGATGTTCTAAAAAGTAATAAATAGTAGAAAAAAAAAAAAAAAAAAAAAAAAAAAAAAGCCTTAAAAAAACCTCTATTCAACTGAATGAAAGTCTATTTTGAGAGAAGGAACTAGTTGGATATATAGCATTCACTGAAGTAGAAATTAGGCCATGAAAGCAACATAGTAAATCAAATATTTCTTTCAGAAAGCAATGTTGTTTCCTGAAACACAAAACTGAAAAGATATACTGATGAAAAACACAGTAGCACAGAAAGGAGCCAACTGACTGTGTTATTCATGGGGGAATGCATGAATATTTTTATGAATATCAAGTTTGATTCTCTTTTTCTCACAAATTATTTTTACTTGTTACACTGAAGAATGACATTTGTTGCATTTTCTTTAGTATATGCTTACTCTTCTCCTCACTTTTGGGTGAAGCCATGTATTGTTTCTGTTGGGTTGGGTACATTGTGTTGTGAACATTTTAATGGCATGATTTATTTCTGCTGTTTAAATTCTTTAGATCCTTTGTATTCTTTTAAGAAGCACTACTGGGTAGAATATACTTAGACACAAATTTGTATCTCAACTAGAAAATGAAGTCAAAAGAAATGCATCTTTGATTGATTTTGTTTTAGAGACACAAGGATTAAAGATAAAGGCTTCCTTTCACTGTCTGGAAACCAACCACTATAATACACTGCTGAAAGGTCACGCCTATGCCTTAGGTTAAGAGGAAAAATGAAATAAACGTTTTAAAACACTTTCATTTCTGCACTGTGTTAAGGCAGTTTAGCATTTATAACGTCACTTAATTGTGTTGAAGACTTTATTTCATTAGGGAAAAAAAAAAAAAAAAAAAAAAAAAAAAAAGAGGCTTTGGTATTTATCCTGGTTTCAGCCTCAGTTTCTTTTTGCTAAAAACCCAAATTGGTTCAGTAGCTACACTCACTTAAAAGTGATTTTACAAATTAACAGCACATTTTTATAAAAAGGGTGGAATCAAGGAGCCAGGAAAGGAGAAGCTTTAACTCCTATGCTTTTAACACTGGAATTACCAGAACTGGCTTTGCAGCTCCCGATCTGGGGCCAGTCAGGGATTATTTGTACTAAATTATATCGGACAGCACAAGATTTCCCTTTTGCAGCTCAAGATCACTTATAGCTATGTTTCTCCCAGCCGCAGAAGCCAGCATTGAGCAGAGCTAAAGAGGTGGAGAGATAAATTCAAATCCATCAGCTATCTCATCTCTCTTCATCTCTTAAAATACAGAAAAATCAAAAACACAGCAACTCTCTATTTAATATTCTGTTGGAAGTGACAGTAGATAGTCTCAAAAAACTAGCAATCAAGGCAGGCTTACAGAGAATATTTAAGAAGATAAAGCCCTTCTCTCCTTTTATTCTAAATAGTATTACATTGGGCAGAACATGCCATAGTGAGAGTCTTCTCAACCGTGCTCATTCTTCTTCCTATCTTCCCACTAGTCTCATTTTACGTTATATTTCTGTATGAGCTTAAAACTGCTGATATCTGGAGAGGGAACATTTTGATTCATAGCACCATATGGTAGCAAAACGTATTTGCTGAAACAAAATAATGTGTGTATATGACTTTCAGACTGGAGCTGATTCACAACTCAGCTGCCTTGAACGAATGTTTGCAGCTTCCATGTTACCTGCACTGGGCCATGCACAAAGTATCTATGGTCTCTCAGTCTTCTGCACAATATACTATAATGTACTTCTCACATGAATAAAGCATTACCTGATGGACAGGATGCACTGCTTTTTCCATAGCCTCCAGCCACCTATAAAATGACCAATAATGAGAATATCTTAGTTTTGTAGAGCAGAATAAGTGTGCAACACTACCTCTTTTAATTCTTGCTGCTATAGGCAGCTTTCGAAGGGATGTGCAATTTTCAGGATGCATTCAGGGCTTCAGTATAGAACACTAGTCTAAATAAATACTTCTAACTTGCAGAAAGATAATTTTCAGCTTGCTGTCCAACACCATAATAAATTAGAGTAATACTTACTATAGGATGAAGCTAAACATTTTGTACATAATTCACCGTGTCAAGCTAAATGATCACTCTTCTGTCAGTTTATAAGGTAGATAATGAACTTGTAGAAAATGTAAAACAACCTGAAACTGGAGATTACCAAATAAAGCATGAAGTTTTTTTGCATTGTTATTCTTTTTGTGCCATGAATGGTATAAAATAGAAAGTGAAAAATACTGCAATATGACAGCAGTGGATATCTAAAATACTAAGATACTATAAAAACACGGTTGGAGAAGTCAACATTAGAAAATGCCATCCTACTTCATAGCTTTAGGTTTCAAATAATGCACACTAAAACAGAAAGGGGAAAAAAAATTAGGTTTCACTATATTTTCAAACTAAGGCCTAAAAGTAATTACTTTTTAGTCTTCTGAGTGATTTAGTCTCTTTGTCTGCTATAGTATTTGGGAAATGCAGAAACAACATTTTTTGGATTCTGAAAAAAGCCCAAACTCATTAACTCATTACATCTTGTCTCATCCAACATATTTTCATGGCATATTTAGAATTTAAAATGAAAATATAATGATGTGACAGAATGACAGAAAGGGAAATGGAAGAGGGGATTATGTTTGTGATTTGCACTGTCCTTGTTGGACAGAGGAGAGATCAGTGGTGAGAAATGAACAATAAGAAAGTTTACATCCACAGGAAGATTTAAGTTTCCATTTGCAATGGTGGAGAAGGTCTGAGAATATGTGTAACTTTTTTTTTTCTGGAGATAGCTCAAATCATGGGAATTCAGGGAGATCTTGAGGAGAACATGAATGTTAAAAACTTGTAGAAAAAACTACCTTCTCATAATAACAAAAAGGTAAATTCTGAAAATGAAAAGTATCTTTGAAAATTATGCAAATAAAAACCATAAAAGCAGAAACACCAATCTTCCTATAAATATCTTCTTTTTTTTTTCATTTTTTTTTTCCCTATTGATCAAGGAAAGTCTTGTAAACATTCTCCAAATTCTCCATTCTCCAGTTGTTCTCTCTTTAAATCAGAATAACAAAATTGACTCTGTAAAATGAAAGATGTCTTACCTCTTCATTTCTTGGTTAGAAGTCGCACAGAAGTAGAAAATCCTGTTTCCACTTTGAGGTATGCACTTAAAAACAAAGGGTTTACCCAGACTCGTGTCAACACCAATTTCTGCTCCTTCCAACTTTGTTACTTCCAAGGGTCTGCACTTCCCTTCATCCTGTAATCCAAGAGAAGAAAATGCTGTGCCAAAGTTCAAAGCAGAGACGGAATCAACTCAGGGAACATTCAAAGGTGTAGAAGTTTGTGACAGGCTTTTTTGCCTTTCAAGCTATCCCAATCATCATTTGCTTTAATAATCAGTAGCCTCTGTTTGTTTATTTATTTATTTATGCTTTATCAGTTCTCGTATCTGTACAGAAACCTCATTAGCTGTAAGTATTCCGACTTTTTAGCATGGATTTTTCAAATGTACTGAACCGTTTAGGAACATCGTAGAGTCATCGTTGTAGAATCCTAGAATGCCTTGGATTGGAAGTGACCTCACAGATCATCAGTTTCCAGTCACCCTCCACAGGCAGGATTGACAGCCTCTAGATCAAGTATTAGATCACATTGATCAGGGCCCTATGCAAGTTGGCCTTAAACACCTGGAAGGATAGTGAACCATGACCTCTCCGGGCAACCTGTTTCATCACCTCATCACTCAGTAAAAAACTTTCCCCAGCATCCAATCTAAATCTCCTCTCCTCTAGTTTAGGACCATTCCCTCTTGTATTATCACTATCTACTTGTGTGAAAAGTTGATTTCCCTCATGTTCATATACTCCCTTTAAAAATTGGAAGACATAATGATGTCTCCCCACAGCCTTCTCTTTTTCTGGCTGACCAAGTCCAGTTCCTTCAACCTCCTTCACAGGAGAGGTGTTCCAGTTCTTGGATCATCTTCATGGCCCTCCTCCAGACCCTCTCTAAAAGCTCCACCTTTATCTTGTGCTGGGGGCCCCAGGCTTGGATGCAGTACTCCAGATAGGCCTCATGAGGCCAGAATAGAGGGGGATAGTCAATCACCCCTCTCACCCTGTTGGGTCCCAGGATGCCATTGGCCTGGACTATTGAAAACCTGGAAAACATGAAGCTATTCACAAAAAAGTGCTACTTGCAGTTTGGGTTTATACTGAAAACCTCACTTATATATACAAAAGAAGGAACAAAGACTTACATTCAGAAAATGTTTTTTTAAAAGTCTGGATTTCAGTTCCTTTGTAAATTTGCCCTAAATATAGAACTACAGAATCATAGAACCACCAAGGTTGGAAAAGACCTCCAAGACCACCCAGTCCAGTTTTCCACCTATCACCATTATTTCCCACTAAACCATGTCCCTAAGTACAACATCTAAAAGTTTCTTGAACACCCCCAGGGACAGTGACTCTACTGCCTCCCTGGGCAGCCAGTTCCAGCATTTGAACCTCTCTCTTGGAGAAGACGTATTTCTTAATGTCCAATCTGAATCTCACCTGGCACAACTTGAGGCCATTCCTTCTAGTCCTATTGACAGCTACATCAAAGAAGAAGGTGAACCCCACATCAACGAAACCTCACTTTAGGTAGTTGTAGAGAGCTATAAGATCTCCCCTGAGCTTCCTCTTCTCCAGACTGAACAATCCCAGCCTCTCCTCATAAGACCTGTGCTTCAGACCCCTCACCAGCTTTACTGCCCTTCTCTGGACACACTCTAAGGCCTCAATGTCTTTCTTGTAGTGAGGGGCCAAAACTGAGCACAGTACTTGAGATGAGGCCTCAACAGTGCTCATTACACAGAGATGGCCACTTCCCTGCTCCTGGTGGCAACACTATTTCTCATGCAATCCAGAATGCCATTGGCCTTCTTGGCCTCCTGGGCTGTGGTGGTCTGTTTCCTCTACACAGTTCTTCCAGTCACTCTACCCCAAGTCTGCAGCGTTGCCTAGAGTTGCCGTGGCAAAGGTGCAGGACCAAGTACCTGGCCTTGCTGAACTTCATCCCACTGGCCTCAGCCTATCAATCCAGCCTGTCCAGATTGCTCTGAAGGGCCTTCCTACTGCAGCCAGATCCACACTTTCTCACTGGTTGCTGTCTGCAAACTCACTGAGGGTGCACTCAATACCCTTATGCAGGTGATCAATAAGGGTATTGCACAGGACAGGCCCAATACCATACCCTGGGGAGTACCACTCGTGACCAATCGACAGCTGGATTTTACTCCACTCACCACCACTCTCTGGACCTGTCCATACAGCCAGTTTCTTCTCCAGAAAACTGCTGGAAACAGTGTTGAAAACTTTGCTAAAGTCTAGGCAGACTATGTCAACAGCTTTTCCCTCATCCACCAGGTGGTCACTTGATCATAGAAGGAGATCAGGTTGGTCAAGCAGTACCTGTCTTTCATGAACACATACTAGCTGGGCCTGATCCCCTGGTTCTCCTGCCCATGCCATGTGATCTCCCTCGAGATCATCTGCTCTGTAACGTTACCTGGCACCAAAGTAAGTTTATATCAGTATATTCATAACCATTCATAACCATTTCAGACAACTTTCATTGGAAAACATTTCAAAATATTTTGTACAGTATTGTTGTGGATTGATTCAGAGCTCTTAGAGACCGAAGATTATTCCTAGTCCTTCTTGTGGTTAATTATAAGAAGCCCTTTAGCTCCTTAATGCAAGTGGGTAGGTAAAACAGTTTGTTCTCCCACTCTCCCAACACAACTCTCATCAAGTACATCATAACTAAAGGCAGAGGTGCACACATTTGGACAGTGAATTCTGGCTGTGTTTTAAACAATATTCTTAACCTGCTTGATTTCCACAGCCATGACTACTGCTCTTACAGTCACATTTAGTTACTAGTGTTAGGACATACGAAGACTAGAAGAGCTCTTTCTAGAAAACACAGATGGATTCTAAACCTATGCAAATCAACTGTTTATTTGGAATAAATTTAATGCTGTCCATAGGAGCTGAATAACAAATGCACCATCTAATCTTTTTTATTAGCTTCAAAATAAACATGCATATATTTCCAAAAAAGTCAGCCACCTATTAGATTTTTACATGCTTATTTGTATTTTCAATGGTAAATGTAATTATTCCTTTGTTCTTAAAATATTCTGTACGAACAACATAACCCCTAGTACTGAAAAACTGTAAATAAACTTTCATGGACATATTTCTTAGATTCTTCTGCTTTCTTCCTTTTTTTCTTTTTTAAAATGAAAAGCTAAAGTTAATACAATAGATGAAGATGATCCAGAAATTCATCAGTGCTGTGTGACCTATTTCTCTTACAATATCTTCACACACAAAATCACACTGCAAAGACAGCATAAGCAAAATACATACTCAGGCTCCAAATCTCACTTCTAGTGCAGAGAATAATACATGCTAGGGCAATGAAGCATTACTCATCAGGATCCTTTCCATCTTCTTTTTTCTGCTGACTGTCCTAGCTTGTGGCCAGAAGGCAAAGGTATTGTAGATGCTGAAAAGGCTGTGTAACTGCTGTAATTACACATTCCTAGAAACTACTTTTCTAAATACTTTCTACGCTGTCTAGAATTAATACAACTAGATCCTGTCATATCAAGAATGATTAATGCCCACTATTTTCCAAAGTAACCATCTGGAAAAAAATTAAGAAGGATCTGAAACATTCATTGCAAAGAGGACAAAATGTCAGTTGACTGAAAGGCAAACTCTCACCTCTAATTCGGAAATGCCAGAAGTAAAGGGCATTTCTTTTCACTACTGTGTCTTTCATGAACTATATGTTGTGCATTCCTATGGCAACACTCCCATTGTTACAAGAAATGCCAGAGCTATACAGCTGAAAAAACATCATAAAAGTTATTTGGTATTACTGTGACTGTAATGTAACCTACTAATGATACTACCTCTGGGGAACTTAATATAAGTACAAGAAGCTTTCAGAATTGCTGGTATTTGCTGTAAAGATTTGAAATGAACTAGCTCAAATTGTAGCTACTACAACACTGTTTTGCACTTAAGAAAACAGATTTTTTGTTCTCTCAAGGTTGCTATGAGCTATTTCATAGATACTTGGCAGTTCACAAGACCTGACATGGATGGAGTCATTTGGGTATGGGGCAGAAAGCAAATGCTATGTTGATAAATACTAGTCTAAGAGTAACAGAAACACCTGAACTAACTCTTCCCTTGCAGCTAGTATTTCTTCAGGAGGTCTGAGTTTTAGGGGTTTTTTTTCCTGAAAAAAAAAAAAAAAGATTAATATACATGAGGCTGAACTAAAGGAGACATAATATGAAAATAGACATCTCCTTACTTTAAAGTATGAAAAGGTCATAAAGGAGTATGTAGATTGAGATGTGTGGGAGGGTGGTCACAGATTTAGTGTAAATTCTTCCAGAAAGTAAATGACATTCATAGCATTTGCCAGATAATTCACTGCAATTGAAGGATTTTTTTTGAGCAGAGTCATATTTACTATTCTAGTTAAGCTGCTTTGTCTAATAGAAAGGGAAAACTGAAAAGATATGAAGACTTCGTGCTATTTGCAGTGAAATAAATAAAAACCAACAGGAATAACTAGAAAAAGAGATTAAAATTAAGCTTAATGGTACTGCAAGTGCTAGTAAAATAGAATAGAAATAATTGTACAGAAAACAAGAGCAAGTCCTAAAAATAATATAACAAATTTAAAATATAAACTTAAAATGAACGCTGTCAGAAAGCAGAAATGGAAGATTGGATAGCCCAGGAGATTGTCAGTGGAATATGCAAGGCAGTCACTCTCAGCTCACTGGCTCAAATTGGACAGTAATGACTTGAGAATTCTTTTAGTGTCTGAACATCTTTTCTTAAAGATGACATATCTGCCAATGAGATGGGAAAACGACCTATTCTCCTTTTGCTTATTTCCCATTTCCCCAACTTTCTTCATCAAAGCTGACATGGTTACAACCCTCCCTGGCACTCAGGCTTACAGTCTGAGGTGACTATTATTTCCTGTTTTTCCCTGCCCAGCCTCGTCTTTACTCACAGTGTTGCTTACTTAGTAGTGTCTCTAAAATCTTGCCCTCCCTATCTCTTTTTTCTAATCAGTATTCTTTAAGGTAGGCTTATTTTTCCAGATATTTGTTAAATTACTGCTAGAGTCTGTCTGCATTTCTTCTTTGAGCTGAGCACACCGGATAAA